CAGACCCTGGAACACTTTTGGGCTCTAGATACCTGCTGGTGTCATCATCCCTAGAGAGGACGTAGACTATCAACAGTGTGATAAAAGGGAATCTGGTAGGCGGAATAAGGAGGAATGTATGTTACATGATCACTTAAGTGAAATTCTACGTTGTGGTTTTATAATTCAAAAAGCATCTAAATATAGAAAACCAAATGGAATATAAAGGTCAGAGACTTTTTACAGGTAGCAAAATGAGATGATTTAAATTAGGCAAGGTTTCCTAGAGAACAAAAGCCTAAAGGTATTTTTACGATAATCACATATTACTTTGAGAAGGGGAAACAATTATTAACACCACAAGCTTAAGAGCTGCCAATAGTCAATAATCCTAAATCTATATGTAAAGAAAGATTAATTCTATACCAACTTTTTAGTTCCAAGAAGTATACCTTATATTTGTGCCACTTAAGACAGTGCAAGAGCTAATTATAGAAGAGTTAATAGGATGGTATGATGCTGGCAACAAAATGACATGCCACCCCCTCTCAATCCACACCAAGGCAGGGATTAAACCTTATCTTCTATTCAAGGTTCCTTCCACAAAGAAACTAATTTATGATATAACATGAAACCAAGCCAAAACATCTCTCCCCAACACTATCCTAAAACTGCTTTCTTGAATTTAATTCTTCTTACAACCCCCAAAAGTACAAGATATATATATATATATGAAAACAAGCAGTGATACTAAAATTAGAGGACCTATAAAGTTATATTTAGTCGAGACTAACTTCTGCAGACCTGTGGTCTTCAAACTGTGGAACGCACAACCCTGGGAGCTGTTCAGGCCATCGTGTCTCAGGGCACTCAAAGAAACAGGACAAAAAATAGCACAGCTGCCTAGCACTGTCAATTTTCCATGACAATTTGGAAGAAAAAGACCTTTAACATAAATGGAAATATGGTGCAAAATGCAACCTTTTCCATAAATTTCTAAGATAAAACAGTGAATCATAAAGATACCTTGTGCTTACAAACGAGCTGCTTTGAACTCCACCCAGTTGGGAAGATTTGGGAAGATTTGGGAAGAGGAGATTGAGTAGTGTATTTGCTCACTCTCCTCTGTTATCACCGATGGAAATGTTTAAGGGACAAATCATGTCTCATGTTCCTTTTACCACTTCAGCATTCACCAATCGAGCCACGCGAACTTTCTTTGTCCTCATGTGTAACCCTTGTATTCCATTCTATAACTATCCTAGCCCAAGGTCCTAACACCTCAACCTGGGCTGAGTATAAAAGTTTGCTCTCTCCATCCCAATCCATCATAAATTATGCTGGTAGATTAACCTTTCTTCACACCCCTTCAACACTGAATTACACAGATACCATGAGTAACTACAGCTACCATCATTGAGTGTCTACTACAGACCAAGTTCTTTATATCCACTATCTCATTTAATACCCAAAATTCTATAAAACAGAAGCTCTACTTTACAAAGGAGAAAACTAAGACTCAGATGAATTATACTATCCAAGGTAACTGAACTAATAAATTGCAGAGTTGGGGACTTCAGCCCATGTCTGACT